ATCTATCTATCTATCTATCTATCCATCTGTCCATCTATCCATCCATCTATCCATCTATCCATCTATCTATCCATCTATCTGGTAGTCATCAGGGAGACTGATAACCAGTTTCATTTGATGTAAAAATAAAAGCCTTGGTTTAAAATCTAGAATATAACCAAGTGTAACACAGATCCCTTTATTTGTGACTTCCTCAGTCCTCTTGTGTAACCGCTGAGATAACGATGTGGGTGGAACACAGAGCGCTGGCTACAGATGGAGAGGCCACAGTATTATATAGATAATATAATATATGAATTATATATATTAAGTATTTTACTTTGTCATTGCAGCATCGATGGTCTGCCAGACCATCATGTGATCTGTGCATTTAGACTTGAATATCATCCTCCACATCATCACCAGGTTAAAACTCTGATGGAGGTGTTAAAGTTCTGCCGGTTTCAGTCGGACTCTTGGCGACGCATTACTCTTTTAATGTTTACTTTTGATAATCAGTAAAGGAGACCACATTTATTTGGAAAAAATCAATTAATAAAAACTCCTAAATGCCTTTAAAGCTCTGTGAGCACGTGACTCTCAGTGCTGCTGCTGCTGCTGCTGCTGTAGTAATAATAGCTGCATGTCATTCATGTGAACAACGTGTTGCTGAGTACTTGGTGTTGACTCCGTCTCCTGTCCTTCCAGGCTGCCGTCTCCCTCCCCCAGCGTCCTCCCCTCCACTGCTCCTCCCTCATCCCCGTCATCTGCCTCACCCTCCGCTTCCTCATGTGGGTCGGACGCCTCAAAGACGCCTGGTGCTCCCTGCCCTGGATGCTCTTCATCTCCATGGCCACGCACCACGTCCGGGACGCGGTGCGCCACGGCCTGTGGGTGTGTCCGTTCGGCAACACGGCGCCGCTGCCCTACTGGCTGTACGTCAGCACCACGGCCACCCTTCCTCACCTGTGCTCAGTGCTCATGTACCTGACGGGAACCAGGGATGTGATCTCCACTAAGCACGGGGTGGCTATCGACGTGTAGGCGCCGACGCACCGGAGACGTCCAGAGCTGGTCTGGTGCGGCTCACGTCTCAGTACAGATGTTCTCAGCTGTTTAAAATGACATTAAAATACTTGAATTCACTGGAGGAAACATTTCCACGGCACTCGGAGAGGAAGTGAGCCGAGGGGAAGAAAATGTTGAAAGGACTCACGGCTCTGCTCATGAGGGTTTTCAAGGATGTAAAATAGAACACAGCCTTTCCAGCAAAGGAACATTTGAATAGGAGTGCCAATCACTGAGTTCTGTTGTTTTTCTGTTGTGTTACCGTGGATGTGGATGAGAGTAGCGCTCATCCATACCAGTCTAAGTGTGTGGGACCCTTTACAGCTTCGACATATCGTTTCATCCACACGGTCCTGCTCTCTGCTCCGTCGTACACGAGCCCTTAACACGGACTCCAGGACTTCCACCACTAACACATCCATCACTTTTACTGTCACTGTCCAGCCTGACCCTGAGAAGAACACGACCAAAGTCCAGCCACAGGTGTACGATGAGCCCAGCAGTCCGTCCTGCTGCTGTTCTGCTGTGCATTGACCCGGTTCCTCTGTCATCAGACTGAAGCCAAATGCACATGTATAGTTTTTGTAATGTTTTATAAAATCACTGTCACATTCCACAGACAGACAGATCACGTCGGGGCAGAACCTGATCTGTGGCTGTCACACCAGCCTCTACAGCAGACTCTCATCCTGGAGGAGCCTTACTGTCCACTCAGCGGTCACCTGACCCTGTTGCAGCCTGTTTGTTTCAGTGCCAACTTAACCAGTTACCACCACCGACGTGGATCAGGATGTGCTGATAGCTATGGTTTAGTTGACATGGCAGTGGCCCGTTGGATTCAGAACCATGCTAAACAACACTCCAGTGGAACCCGTCGCTGGGCTGTGTGCACGGATCAGCCCACCTTTAAGACACTGTGGTAGAGATACAGTCTACAGAGAATACAGTCGAGCCATATGTTCAGTTGAAGACATTTAGATGGACCGGCTGTGGTCCCATCATTCTGCTGCATTCACTGGACAGCACAGCCGACATGCGGACACGTCCAGGTAGCTCCTCAGAGGTGGAAGCAGGATTTCCAGAAGGATGTGGACTTTAAAATGATTATTTATTAAAATGAATTCCTTGCATTAATATTATCCTCCACGTACAGAATATGTAGAGGCAAAGTCATCACACTGTTGTAGATGTAGAGTCAGCACACTGTTCCTCAGTATTATTTACAGGCTGTCCTAAAACACACACGTTGTCACGTAGAATGTGGCTTTTATGAATGTGAGCACCAGGCTTTCAGAGTGAAGGGATGGAGGACTCCTCAGGAGGCTTTTAAAGTCTTTAGACTGATTTTAATCCATGTTGAAACGACCATCCATCCATCCATTTTCTATACACCGCTTAATCCTCACGAGGGTCGCGGGGGGGCTGGAGCCTATCCCAGCTGACTTATGGCGAAGGCAGGTTCACCTGGACAGGTAACCAGTCTATCACAGGGCCACACTTAGAGACAGACAACCAAGCACACTCACATTCACACCTACGGACAATTTACAATCACCAATTAACCTCAACATG